TTTGAACATCTGGAGAAAGGAAACATCATGTTCTACCACGAAGACCTGGAGCAGTGTGGTCTGGATGTCACAGAGGCCTCGGTGTACTCAGGAGTTTGTACAGAGATCTTCAAAAGAGAGTGTGTGATCTTCCAGAAACCAGTCTACTGCTTTATTCATCTGAGCATTCAGGAGTTTCTGGCTGCAGTCTACATGTTCCACTGTTTCACCAGCAGGAAGACAGAGGTGCTGGAAGCCTTCCTTGGAGAAAAGTACAGTGGGTCATCTCTGGATGATTTCCTTAAACGAGCCATGGAAAAATCCCTTCAGAGTAAAAATGGCCACCTGGACCTGTTTGTCCGCTTCCTTCATGGCCTCTCTCTGGAGTCCAACCAGAGACTCTTAGGAGGTCTGCTGGGTCAGACAGAGAGCAGTCCAGGAACCATTCAGAGAGTCATTAACAATCTTAAGCAGATGAACAGTGATGAAATTTCTCCTGACAGAAGCATCAACATCTTCCACTGTCTGGTAGAGATGAACGACCTCTCAGTACATCAGGAGATCCAAGTATTCTTGAAGTCAGCTAACAGATCAGAAAAGAGACTCTCTGAGATCCACTGCTCAGCTCTGGCCTACATGCTGCAGATGTCAGAGGAGGTTCTGGATGAGTTAGACCTAAACAAGTTCAAAGCATCATTGGAGGGACGACTGAGACTTTTTCCAGTTGTGAGGAATTGCAGAAAGGCTCGGTGAGACCAAGTCATTATTCAGTATTATTCTTCATTGTTGATTTGTGGTTTTAGTTTTTCATGTAACACGAAATTATTCTTCTTATTATTTTTAGCTTTGTATTGTAGATATTGGTCATTAATTATTTTATATACTTTTGTATTTGGACACTGAAAAAGTTCTATCACGCCATTTAAAAAACAAAGGGGTCAGAGTTATGGAACACTACAACTAGACGTACTACACCTTGTACCTTGGTAATGGAAATTAATGATGGCTGTGCTGCTCAGTTTACAGGAGATAATTTTAACTTAAATGCAAAAGTTTCCATAAGCTCTGCCTGTAGACTAAAAATCCATCCATCCATTCATTTTCTTTGGCTTATCCAGGGTCTGGTCGTGGGGGCAGCATCCCAAGCAGAGAAGCCCAGACCTCCCTCTCCCCAGCCACCTCCTCCAGCTTATTCGGGGGAACACCAAGGCGTTCCCAGGCCAGCCGAGAGACATAATCTCTCCAGCGTGTCCTGGGTCTGCCCCGGGGCCTCCTCCTGGTGGGACATGCCCGGAAATCCTCGCCCAAGAGGCGGCCAGGGGGCATCCTTTTCAGATACCCGAACCACCTCAACTGGCTTCTTTCGATGTGGAGGAGCAGTGGCTCTACTCTGAGCCCCTCCCGAATGGCCGAACTTCTCACCCTATCTCTAAGGGAGAGGCCAGCCACCCTTCGGAGGAAGCCCATTTCCGTCGCTTGTATTCGTGATCTCGTTCTTTCGGTCACTACCCACAGCTCGTGGTCATGGGTGAGGGTAGGGACGTAGATTGACCGGTAAATTGAGAGCTCCGCTTTTACACCGAGCTCTCTCTTCACCACAGCGTCCGCATCACTGCAGCTGCTGCACCAATCCGTCTGTCAATCTCCTGCTCCCTTCTCCCATCACTCGTGAACAAGACCCCGAGAAAAAGGAAAAAGCTGAAAATTTAAATAGTTAAAAGTAAAAATGCGAATAGTTGATTTTTGTATTATATGATTTATTTATTACATTTTATGTGGAGTGAATAAATAAAAGTATATTTACGGTGGCTCCTACAGACAAAGCACATACTAACTTCAAATCACGTACGAACTCTGAAGCACGTACAAACTCCAAAACACGTAAAAACTCCAAAACACGTAAAAACACGTACAAACTCTGAAGCA